AAGACCTCTTCAAAGTATGCCAACACTTGCATTTCTAAATAATTTAAATAAGTGTTCAGCTTTTCATACAGTTGATCTCCACAAATACCAAGGTATTTCAATTTTTCCCCTACCATGTCATTTGACTGGAGAATCAGATTTTTTTTAAAACCTTTTATATGAATAGATATATCAAAGCCCTTTAATCTACATGATTATCGTGGTACATGCCTATAATCCTAGTATTCTGATGACTGAAGATATTTATAAATTTAAGCCATGCATAGCTTCATATATAGATACATCTCAATAAACAAATAAAAACATAGATCAATAATGTTACTGCCCTTTAATATTATGGTCTCTGTAGAGAGCCAATCTTGATAATTTTAATAATATATAAAAATGTATTAAAAAGTAGTGGAAACAAATTTTGGGTAACTACAATGTTAAATACACAATGATCAGTGCTTTGCAACCTTGACTGAATAAGTCAGTCTTTCACATTTTGGATGCCATTGCAATATAAAACTGGATATTTAAGTGGTCATATTAATTAGCACTAATTATTCTACTATTTGTGCCAAAACAGAAAGTGGTGTGGCATAGTAAATGTCACCAACATCACATCTGTTAACACAGTGACAATTAGTAAGAGAACAGGTTTGGAAAAAAGAAACTGTCTTTAATCATTCAAATAATTACAAGGTGTAGGACATATGTTAATTTTGGTGTGTATGCCAATAAATCAGCAAATTTTCCTTTGCAAAATGATGAATGTACATTGATAATTTGTTGAAAAATCCCTGGACTAATCACATAAATATCATAATCTTTTGTCTAGTCAGTCAGCAAATTCTCTCAGTTTTAGGTCATAGGTGCCTTTCTAACTGGTCCCCACCTCTGTACCACCTCTACTGTCTACTCCTTTTACTGTCTAGCCTGGATTCCTATAGGAGCCTGGAACAGTGTCTTAACTGTAGCCTTGATCCTTCTTGACCATTTTCCCTACCATTACCTAAGACTGTTTTTGGTTTTTGTTTGTTTGTTTTTATGTGTACCTTTATATATTTCTCTGGCTTAAACAAATTTCATGGTTTCCCATCACCTTTAGGAAGAAGTTTAAACTCCCTAGCGAGGCAAATATAGATTTGCCTCATAAGATCCTTGCTATTTTTAATTCTTAGGGTTGTCCACAACCTGGTCCTCTCAGCCTGGACTAAAAGTGTCCTCAGAAAACATTTGAACTCCACCCTCTTTACCATTACTGTGCTGTGCATTCTGTAGTGGACACTTTCTCCTCCCTCATCCTCCTCATCTCCTAGCAACTGGTAGGCTAGTACCTTCAGGAAGCAATGCAGGCATCATCTCATCTGAGAAACCTTCCCTGGATTTCAAACCAGTATGGCTTTCCCTCTATATAGGTCCCTATATGTGCCCCCTGCTGATCTATTGTCAGGTGCTCCTCCGTTTTCAATTTTCATCACTAAAGGGGACTTCTGAAGGATCTGTCTTTGTTTGTATTCTCAGTGCTCACTGCAGTGACTAGCACATAAAACATTATCAACAAATCAAACTCCTAAATTCTTTTTGGTTCACTTACTCCATACAAAGGTAGTCATGGGTTTGAGATGGAGGGAGAGGTAAAAGAACTGAAAAGTAAAATTATGGCTCAAAAAAAATATTAGAAATGTTACTGTAAGTAAATCATTCAATAAGCGGACAGGACTAGGGGCCCTGCTAGTTCTTATTTTCCGTGATAGATAAACAAGGGGAGAGGCATGAGTGTTGAATGCTTTCTGTATTTGAAGACGTCAGCCGTTGACCATGAGAAGCGTTGGAAAGAGTAGGGCAGAGGATGCAGCTCTGAGAAGATGGCTATAAAATTACTGGGGTTTGAAGGAGTTTGTTTACTTTTTAGAAGCTCTTCCTTGGTGAAGCAGAAAAAGCCCGTAGGGAGGGCAAGGCCCACACAATGAGAGAGAATCATGTCACTGTTCAAGTGAGAACTGAGGAGTCTCCAAATTATTTTTTAAAATATGTTCTAGTCTTATACAAAAATATTCTAGACTTTATCATAATAATTTTATTTCAAATTAATGCAAGATATGGAACTCTACATTTTAATATCTTTGTATGTCTGAAATTGAAATATTACTTTGATTTAATTAAATTCCAAAAAGTTTCTTCTCTGTAATAGTAAGAATATAGGAAATATGTTTAGAACACTGTTAATTTTCCCTATGGCATTAACTGTGATCAGAGCACACATTACACATTAAATTATATTTCCTAGACAGCTTACTATTTCCTTTGCTGAATAGATAAGTTGCTAATTAAGCTTCTATAGCTGGTTGGCTAAGTTATAGCCTCTTGCTAATGAGAACATAGACTTCATTTGATTTTGTGGTTACATATCTATTTCAGTCTCGATATTACACACCTGCTACTTTATTCACTCTGTTTTACCAGCACTCCATAAAGTGTCAATGCAGTGTTGGGACCCAGTGGATGGTGGTCAAATGAATGAAGTCATGAATGCATTAGTCAGCAGTAACTGATTCAAATGACTGAGTGGATGAATAAATGGCTCTTATGTTCTCACCACTGTGGTTGTTACTTATTGATCAAAGTTTTAAATGTTATTTTATTATAATGTATGTAAATGGTGTGTGTGTGTGTGTGTGTGTGTGTGTGTGTGTGTGTGTGTGTGTGTAAATTTGTGGAGCTAGCTAGCTTCTTCACCCTACTTTACCTGGATTCTGGGGATCAAACACAGGTTGTCAGTATCTTGTGTGGCAAACCCTTTACCAGCTGAGTATTCTTTCTAGCCCAATTTCTTTCACTAATTTAGAAAAACAAAACAAAACAAAACAAAACCACACACACACACACACACACACACACACACACACCATCCCTTGATCTTCTAAGAAAGGATGGTTTGATGGTTTGTCTAGTGACATCAGTTCTCACCTTGTTAAGTAAAGGACATCATTTTGCCAAATCTCAGCATAAAAGGATTGATGGCAGGTTTAGCATTAGAATTAAACATACCGAAGGAACCTCTGGTTTCATGGAGCATCTATGCCCTAGGGAAACAGTACCGAATGACCCACAGGAGCCATAAGGGCTCTGAAATAAATTAACTTTGCATATTTGGCTACTTTATTTTCCATGTAAGTAGTAGAATTTTAAAAGTTAGAAACAGTCAGTTCTCTTGAATAATAATGTAAAAATTTAACGTTTTAGATATACTTTGAAAAATCTACTTTACAAACAAACAAACCATATCTACAGATCCTATCTCATAGGTTTTAGGCAGTAGATTTAAGTTAGGGCCAAAAAATCCTTCATTTTTCTTTCAGTAAGCTCTATTTCAATTGTTCTTGACAAGGAATAATTTTGTTCCTTTCAATATAGAAGTGAATTTTCTAATATTTGGATTCATTTTTGGTGATAATGCCCAAGATATCTGGGGGTGCCTGTAGTGGGTAGCTGTTTCAGCTTTGACCTGGAAGTACTAACCCCAGTGAGGCTTCCAGTAACTGTCATGCTTACCTATGACTTGCCCCTGAGGCGGGGCCGAGAGTGGAGCCCTTAAGATCCAAGATCTGGCTGGGAGGTGGTGGCACATGCCTTTAATCCCAGCACTCAGGAGGCAGCAGTAGGCGGATCTCTGTGATTTCGAGGCCAGCCTGGTCTACAGAGCGAGATCCAGGAAAAGCACAAAGCTACACAGAGAAATCCTGTCTCGAAGGAAAAAAAAAAAAAAAAGAGGACTGATTTGGATGTGCTGGCTCTCGTGGTTCCTGGTGATCCTGGATGCTGGATGTAGACTGAGCAAAGTTTTCTAGAGAACCCCACTGGACTGCACCTCACCTCTCCTGGATCCTGTAACCAACCGCTTTACTAGCTGTAAGTAAATCTCCTTTTTAAGTATGTGGAGTTGCCTTACTAAATCCCCACAACAGGTGCTACTGGCATGCAGAGAGAAGCATGGGATACTGCTGACACCCTATCATGACAAGAGATGTCGCTATGTGGTGGAAAGGCAGAGAGGGCAGAGGCAGTGACATCAAGTCATGCAGCCTGGGTTCACGACAAAGATACATGGAGGCTGAATAAATCCTGGGAAAAAATCTCAGCTTAATGTGCAGGGTGCTACAATGGTTCTAAAGGAGGTATTCCTATCACTAGAACTTCCATTACTAAAAGTACTTTATTCTTCAGTGATGTTGGGTTGAGGTATCAGAGAATCATCAATTACTTAACAGCAGAAGCACATACAGTAGCTTCTATTTCTAAGTAACCTGAAAGGGAGAGAGCAGCTCAGGGGGAAAGGTGACAATAATATAAACCAGACAACAACAACAACAAAAACCCAACCAACCAACCAACCAACCAACCAACCATCCAACCAACCAAACAAACAAAATTGATGCAAATGCTCATTGCACACTTTTAAAAAATAGTTTCTTCATGGCTGACTATGTAGTTCATTGGTAGAACATTTGTCAAAAAAACAAGGTCCCAGGTTTGATCTCAGCACTAGTCACCAAAACACTCTCTCTCTCTCTCTCTCTCTCTCTCTCTCTCTCTCTTTAATATACAATTAGTGATAGTACTTGGGATATACTAAAAAATATGACATAGGATAATCTTATTTCTTGTTGATATTTTTGACAAATTTAATTATACTTTCAACTGATTTCTGCATTGGTAAGGGCTGGAGAGATGGCTCAGTATTTAAGAGCGCTCGATGAACAATCACAATGGCATTCATATAGGAGATGCATGGCCAGCAAATACCTGTAACTACATCTGAGGAAGATGATGGAGATTGGAAGATCACTGGAAATTACAGCATCCAACCTAGCCAACAGAACATGAACTTTATTTCCAACAATCTGCCTCAAATAAATACATAGAAGGTGGTAGAAAAGCACACCTAATGTCTTCTTCTGGCCTCTTTGCAGGCGCACGCTCATACACACACACACACACACACACACACACACACACACACACACACACAAGCACACTCACCCACACATACATAAACATATACACAATTAAACAAATAATAAATATTTAAAAAATACTATTGCCAATCTGGGGATATGGAAGCTGCAGATAAAAAGAAATGCGTGTGCCTAGCATGCGCAAAGCTTGGGTTGGAGTCCCTACTGCCCCCTCAAATATAGTTTCATCTACCCACAATTGTAGAACTATGAATTCACAACACATTTTGAACTATCAAGCAATATGACAATTCTCTTTAGAGCATTGAATAACCTCCACTAATTAATCATTTGTTTCCTTAAAATTAAATGATTACCCTCTAGTGTTTCAAGGCAAATGGAAGCCTCCTTTTCGAAAACTTTACTATCAATGCACAAGAATCACTTCTTTCACCAACTGCAGTAGATCTACCATTTAGCAGAACAAATTAAGAACTTATCAGTAATTATGAAAATCATTTCCCTCTTACATTGAAATTCTTTGCAGCGCCTCAGCTTAGCACATTGTTATTCTGGGTGGCGTAGGTGTTGTTGAAAGGTAGTGTGAAAATAAGACCCTGAATTATGAATTTGTCCTGTGAACACTGAATCATTTTGTATTTTCTGTGGCAAAACAGCTTACTTCTCTCTTGAAAGGACATAGGAAGATCATTTAAAATTACAAGAACACACAGCAGTATGTACAATGTGTACACTGAACAAGACAACTATACACTTTTAAATCATACTTTATACTCTTTGTATCTGTTCATTTATTTTGCATAGCATTTCTATCAATATAGAAAAAGGGAAAGCTATGCAAATTTGATATAATATTAAATAATTTGTTCCATTTCAATTCAGTAAATATTTATTAAATACTCTGGTCCAGGCACTGTGGCATGTATTAGAAAAACAGAAATGGGCTCAAAAAAGCCACAGATCCAAATAAATTCATGACGAAGACAGGCCTCCCAGAGAAAGCTAATGTTATCAAGGCAAATCTTATGTGCATGAAGCTCTCAGAAATACAATTTCTTGTGCTTAGAACTTGAAGCAGAACAAACATTAAAAAAATTCAGGTTAGGCTGAATGATTTATCAGCACAAGAACTATGCTGAGCTAAACTGTCTTTTTATTATAGAGACGACTACAGTATGGCTGCTCAACTGTAACACAGGTACATGATTCCTCTGGCTTCGTTCTAGAAAATGGCCTGCTATTTCTTTCATTAGCAACACAGTCTATCCATTTATAGATCTTTTTCTAGTATTTTCCTATTGCATACAGAAGTTCCTTTACTTCCCCATTATATTCACTTATTTGCACAGCTCTTAATAGACTGGGTAATCTGTAAACAACAGAAATTTATTGTTAATAGCTCCAGAGGCTGAGAAGTCCAAAGAGCCAGTTTTCAGTGCCTGGTGATGGCTTATTTCTCACGCACCATGCCTTCTCCCATGTACTCATTGCCGCCGTCAATGCTGTAGCAAAATATTTGGCAGAAGCAACTGAAAGGAAGACAAAATTAACTTGGCTTGTGGGTTTAAAAAGGGTAGACAAGTCCCTTCTGATAGGAAGGCACAATGGCTCTCACTCACTCTGCAGCAAGCCAGGAGATGAGTGCTAGTGCCCAGCTCACCTTCTCCTTTCACTTCAGGTTGAAATCCCAGTTCATGGGAGAGTGCCAGCTATATTCAGGGTAGGTCTTCCCTCCTCCTTTAAATCTTTCTGAAAACATCCTTAAAGGCACACCCTGGAGCTTCTTTCCATGCCGTGTCAATTTGGCAATGATGACTGACCATCACACATGACAAAAGGACAAATAAGTTCTCTTGAGACTCTTAGAATGCATGACACACTGTTCAATCTCCCCACACTACCTCATGCAGACTACTTCAAAAGGAAATTTGGGAGACACAAATATCCCAACCAAAGCACCAGCATCCATTCAGTATGTCAGAGTTGTTAGGGTAACCAAATGATCTATTTGCATTAGATTTCTATATGTTCAGTAGATGGTTACAAAGTTAAGGTCCAATCAATACCGTCTAAGTCTTGGCTATCTTGTTCTGAATCTTGAGCTAAATAAAAGTGAACCATAATAAGGGAGATTCTCTTTGCAGCCAGCAAATATTGAAATGGCCTAGGTCTTTTTACTGTCTTCCATGTGCAGTCTATATTCAAGTTATAACTACAGAGGATCCATTCATGTATCTAATCCCAGGAAGGAAGCTGCCTGTAGACTTTGGTAAGAAGTACTTTGCTGCTCTAAAGTCTGAGAGCATATACCTTATTATTATGACTATATGTCTAATGGAGTTGTTTATACTGCATGCAAGGCATTGCTCTCACAATGGAGCCCATTTATTTTATAGAATTTGTTCTGTTAATAAAATTCTTGGATATATCTTGTAAGCATACATGCGTTCACATGTAGCAGCTCCTGAGTGACTACCACTGCACTCCTTGACATGGTTGAAAATACACAGGTATATATGCCATTTCTTTAATCCTATTTCTGTTTTTTAACTTCCTATTCCCCCATCACCAACCATCCAGCTAACTAACCAACACACAGAAATCCTGGGACCAAGTTTCAAGTCCTTGTCTGTGTTTATAAATAACATTTCTTAAAACCTAGTAAACACAGCTTCATCTTTTGATCATAACTGTAACCACTGAAGACAGGAGATAGTGCCACCCTCCTTAATGAGTGACAAAAAACTGTCCTATTCTCCTTGACATAGACAACTAAACATACTACCCAAGAACAGGGCTGGCCTTGTGGTGTCTTTTGGGATTTCAGGACAATGAAACTTCCCTGATTTTCACAAAAACAAAGTTTACTGATAGCATAAAAAAGAAATTGTAGACTGTAGGTTCACACTAACAGAGCTGTCTATATAAATCAGGAGAATGGCTACACAGACTTATATGTACTTCACCTTTAAGATACCAATATATTTTAAAGTAGAGATTTCTAAATTACTCTCTATTCATAGACTGTATTTTCATATTTAAAAAAATTTTTTCTTTGGGTTTTAGCCTTTTCAAATTCTCATCTGTGATAGCAACTCAGCTTGACTTCAAGTGTAATTTGTAAAATATTGTGAATTGATTTATACCCCTCAAGTATAATTACTTCACGTCCATTATACCAACAAATAAAAGGGATTAAACAGAATGCTTTAGTTGTTACCAAAATCATTACCACTGCATGCATTTTAGGCTACTATTTTTCCTCAGAAACCCTCAAAGTTAGATCTACAACTCCTAATTTTTTAAGTAAATACCAGAATACACTGATCTCATATTAATTAATCTTCATTCAATCTACACTTTATTTATTTTAAAGAAGAATGTTCACCAACATTCTAAGTAAAAAAAAATCACCACTTGCTGCTGTGGTTTGGATACTACTTGAATGTATCCCCAAGGATTCACATTGAAGCTTTCTCTCACGATTATTAAGATTATTAAGGGGTGGAGTCTAGTGGAAGGTCATTAAGTCATTGGGGGTTCACCTTTTTTTCCAGCTACTGTCAAGTCATCTGCCATGAAGTCTTTGCCAGAGACAATTCTATTTTGTTTAGACTTTCAGACATCAGAACTGTGAGTATATAGTTTTACCAGTCTCAACTATTTCATTAAAATATAGCAAATAAACTAGTAACACCTGTTCAATAACACCTAAGGATAACCATCAGCTAAATATGATTATTGAGAACTTAAGGCACAAACTTGTAAAGCAGTTTTCTATAGTACAATTAGACAATTCTAAGTCTCAAAATAGTAAACAGCAGAATAAATATTAAGGAAAATGTCCAATCTGTTGTTTATAAGATATATAAAGAGAAATTTTAGCTTGAATCATTCAAATGGCAATATAAATAAATAAGTAAAGTTCTAAGAGTACTTAATCAGAATCGTAAGCAATTTAAATCTTCCTTTTCAAAATTAAATCACAGATACTACTAACTTAAGAAGCTTCTCAGGGGCCTGTTTTTGCAGCCAGCTCCAGCATATCCTTATTAATAGTATGCTTAATACTATTTTAACAACATAAACTGTAAATTCCATCAAAAGAGTCTGTTGGGGGACATCTCAGAGCCCCAAAGAATAATATAAATTTGTATTAAATATCAGATGAATTTTGAATTTGGTTATTATTGATTTGAGGTAACATTCAGTGTATGTAAATAAGAAAACTGACTTGGACGACTTTCCAAAGACAAATGAAGACTAAGCAGGCACAAGGGTAGTTTGTCCAGTGTTCCTTTTGATGTAGACACTGAGCAGAGAGAGGCTCTATGACATCTAGGTATAGCTGACTGACATTTCCTTCCCTTATTTCTCTTCAGTCATTTTTACCTCACCAATATTGAGGACATCCTCCAGGTGTATGACTCATTTAAAGGTCACTCTTTTGTAGCCTGAGAACCATGGTAAAAATACAAAATATAACTAGGTATTATTTGGTTATTTTTCCCACTGAGAAGCTAATCAATTGGATAACTTAAATGTGAAACTGGAGACATAGCTAAGTGGTTAAGATTATTGGCTGCTTTCCCAGAGGACCAAGGTTCAATTCCCAGCACCCTATATGGTGCTCAAAACCATTTGTAAATCCAGTCTTTCCAAATACCTACTTTATCCTCCATAGACATCATGCATACACATGGTGCATAGACATACATGCAAGAAAAACACATATGCACATAAAATAGATTAAAAAATAATACACCTACAGAAAAATAGGGATCTCTGCAAAGTAATGGAGTAGATTAAAAATCATCAGCTAGTCTCTAGAATTGGGAAAACTGTTAATTTTCATATAAGCTTTGTGGATTATTAATAGTTTGTACAAATTTGAAGAGAGAATTAGTGAACTGACCATTTAAATGGATAAATAAGAGACTTTATGAGTTCCCTTTTGTATCACAACATTATATCTGAGGCTGAGTAACATAATACATAATAGAACTTTGTTCTGGAAGAACAAGGTTAAGAGCCTGTATCTGGTAATGACCTGGCAGTCCTGGGGTGGCACAAGGCACCACAAGGCAAGACATGGCATACAGAATACATAGATGTCTCCTCTGATCATGCTCGCCACCACCATGTAGTCGTGGAGTTCAGTGAGACAATCTTATGTGTTATCCATCATATCCAAAGGCCTATCCTCTGAGCACCATAGTTACGTCATTCCCACCTTGTTGATACTGTGCAATAGAAATTTAATTTCAACACATGAACAAAAACTACCCAAATCACTGCAGAGGAACCAAAAAATGTATTAACCAGAAACATCAAAGAGAGATTATGAGACAAGGAGGTCAAGAGAAAACATTCGGAATTCTAGATGAAGATGAGACAGATTATGGGGGAAGCTGTATTTGAAAAGATGACTGATTCCCGATGTAATGAAACATCGATTCTCTCTACCCTTGGGTACCCCATGCTGACCCAAGCTTGCAAACATTTTCATTAATTTATCCTGATGTCAACTATAATCAATACTTCCTGTGTGCCAGAAGAGGAACAAATGCTTGAAAGCAGTGTTTTGGGCAGGAGTGGGCAATTTGTTTACCATATAAAAGACTTACACTACACATTTTAGTATTTGTGGGCACTGTGGCTTCTGCCGTGACTCAGTTCTACAGCTATATATAGCACAACAACACCAGACAACAAGGAAGCAGGGACAGCCTCCTAACATTTCATTCACAAACGAAAAACACAGTGATGAGTTATGCCACAGGCTGAATTTTTCCAACCTCTATGATAGAGGGTTAAGGTAAGAGAAAAAAAAAAATGGCCAAATTTCACTTGTCTTAGATGTGAGGTGAAGGAACTATGGCAGTGAACACAATGGGCCGCCAGTATTACACTTATGTAAACTTTAAGAAGGGCTAAAATGGGTTCCTTTATATAGTAACACATTTAAGAAAATTTATTCAGGAAGTTAGGCACTTCAGTGGTAATAATGTAAGAATCTATGTTGCAATTTAAAACATCGTTTGTTTGTTGTTTTTTTTTTTAACAATCTAAGAATAAAAAGAAAAACTTTTCTGAAGATAGTCGAAACAGTAATTTTGCATCATGACTTTATGAGAAAACATGTATCTGTGGTACTCATACCATCAGAAAAGAATTCATAGTAAGGTAGAAAAACAAAACAAAAATATTGACTTTTTTGGTTAGTTTAGTTTATTCCTCCAGTGAAACTTTGATATTATAACTTTGAAAGGAAATTAATATTTTGCATTGCCTGCTTCCCTTTTGCAGAAAGAGTCTGGCTTTGAACTTGCTATGATGACCATATTGGTCTTCATAGAGATCTTCTGGGCTGGAGGTATAGGCGGGTGTGAGTCCCCATGTGGGTGCTGAGAACTGAATGCAGGTCTTCTATAAGAGCAAGTGCCCTTCCTTGCTGAGCCATCTCTCCAGCCCCCATTTAAGCTTTTTAAAAGAAGCATCTACCTTCTAGAATAGTGAGCCAAAGAGAGAACAAAATATGTTTCAAATTGTCTAAATTTGCAGTGTCTAGTGTGAGGAAACAAACAAACAAACAAACAACCCAAAAAAAACAAAACAAAACAACAAAAACCACCTTTGTTTGACATCACCCAGGTAATCCACTATCTTAGAAATTAAGAGTAAAACAAGATATAAGAGGCTGACATTTGATTTGTCCTGGTTTCTAGTAATTGTTAGAAACATTTCTGGACAGTTAAAGAAAGCAGAGATGGGACTAATTCTTAACTACAGAATATACTCAGGACGTAGGAAAGCCTTCATCATTACACAAAACTAGATGATAGGTATTTGTTGGATGTGTAATGCCACGTGCTATGTACAGCAGGAACTGAAGATGCAATGTATAAGAAATATAAAACTTGTTTCTTACAGTGCTAGAGGAAGACAAAAAGTGAACAGTTCACTAAGTATGAAAGCAGAAAATATGGCAAGCCTTTCAGAAGACCAGGTAGGCTGTCCGCAGAAATTCCCCACTCTTTCTATTACCCCAGACCCAATAGCATTGCAACAGAACACCAGGAGTTGCTCCCTCCCATCCATGCCTGTGGTGGATCCCTTTGCTTACTTCCCTCTGGCCTCCCCTTTGACCCAGTCTCCAACACCAGTAAGCATCCCCCATGAACACATTACTGAGCAGGCTAAGAAAACAAGCAATACTCAATCAACAAACTCTCTGAAAATCCAGAGAGGAAACAGAAACCAAGGAACAAAACTCCCAATCAACTGAGACAAAACCAGAAACCAGCAGGGCCACCTAGACCTATAATCACCCCAAACCCAGATGCATGGATGCCATCATAAGAACAAAATCAATTAACAGCTAGGGCAATATGTCAACACCAGAGTCCAGCTATTTTACAACAGCAAGAGCTGAATATTTAATGTAGTTGAAGAACAAGAAAAAGACCTTGAAACCAACTACATGAAGATGATAGAGGTCCTTAAAGAGGAAATGAATAAACCCCTCAAAGAAATTAGGAAAACACAAACAAACAATTGGAGGAATGAATAAGTCTCTTAAAGAAAGCCAAGAAAAAACAAAGAGTTGAAGGAATTAAATAAAACTGTTCAAAGAACTGAAAATGGAAATAGAAGCAATAAAGAAAACACAATCTGAGAGAATCCTAAAAGAAAAAAATTAGGAATGCTAACAGGAACAACAGAGGTAAGCTTCATCAACAGAATACAATAGATGGGAAAAAGAATCTCAGGCATTGAAGATACAATAGAAAAAAAATCAATATATTGGTCCAAAAAAATTTAAATCTAAAAAATTCCTGACACAAAATATTCAGGAAATCTGGGACAGATTAAACATAAGAAAAATAGGAATAGAGGAAGGAGAAGATTACCAGCTCAAATGCCCAGAAAATATTTTCAACAAAATCATAGAAGAAAATTTTCCTAACCTAAATAAGCAGATGTTTATAAAGGTACAAGAAGAATACTGAACACCACATAGATTGGACCAGAAAAGAAAGTTCTCCTATCACATAATAATCAAAACACTAAACATGCAGAACAGAAAAAGAATATGAAAACTGCAAAGGAAAAGGACAACGTAACACCAAGATAGAGCTATTAGAATTACACCTAACTTCTCAATGGAGACTAAATGCCAGAAGGGCTTGGACAGACATGCTGCAGAATCTAAGAGACTATGGACACCAGCCCAGACTACTATACCCAGTAAAACTTTTGAAAGACCCCAGCATACTAGCTTAGCCTAACGCCATTTCGAGTAAGGTCTGAAAAGCACGGGGTGTCTACGGCTGGCCACCTGGCCCCAGAAAAGGGTACTAAAGGTCAGAAAAACAACTTGGAGCCAGACAGCAGGCGTGTCAAGCTCGGGGAAAAACCACGAGCTGTCCTGAGTTTG